CACTATCCCACACTGAATCTAACACTAACCCTTACCCTAACCCTTATCCTAAACCTAACCCTAACCCCTAACCTTTACCGTAACCCTTACCCCAACCCTAACCTCTGTCTCTAACCATAATCCTAACCCCTAACCCTTGCCCTAACCCTAATCGTGCTCAAATCGAGCTCGAATCGCTGTCGACAAACCTGGAAATGTGGAGTTTTGTTCCGCCACTACCAAGGAAACTCCTGTCTTATTGGGATATTGAGAACAGTTATGCCCTGCTAAATTTAAAACCCTGATGAGTGGGAATTCCGCGCATGGTTATCGTCAGCTAAATTTTGTGGTTGACGTTAAGATGCAAGTGTAGGAAACGGTTATAAGTACTTCCTCTGTATCGTAGGTGGCTTGGCGCTTTATTCCAGGAGGGGTTGCTGATGTGGTTAGTGTCAGAAGTAAGTGGGGTCAGCCTTAGGGACGTTCACCGATCGTGTTAAAGCAAATACTCTAGCCGTTGTGCCCTGGAGTCAATCTCGCTTTCCGCTGACAACCCTGCAGCACCTAATTAAATACACAGAATGCCATAATCCACAAGGACGAGGGAGACTGGGATGGCCGTTTCCGGGTCACGAAATGCCACCAAACAGTCATAGTCGACCTAGGGTTTTGCAACTCCTGAGGTTCAAACTTGCAACCAGTCGGTTAGAAATGCAATGCATTACTTATTGAGCCGCGGGCTCTTTATTCCGGCGATCTGTGAACGTCTATCTATCATTGTTAATATATCCAATGGGAATTAATTGGACAACCAGGCCCTGACCCAATGGTTAGCGCGTTGAAGTACTAATCAACAGGTTGTGGGTTTGAGCCTAGGGGGTGGCAACACCTGGGGTTGGATGAGGCTGACTGATGACGCCTACTAAGCCAGAAATGGCCATTCCAGTCTCCCTTCTGCCCCGGTTAATTTCCGTGGACTAAATTCTTCAGAAAGAAGCTCGTTAGAAAGCCGGCGTCCTATCGTGAATGACATGCGTTGAGAATAGGCTACAGGATAATCAGTATTACAATCTTACTCAACGCCGATTAGCGAATGAGTACCAATCTTTCGCAAATGTCGGCCTGTTGCATGAAGTTTGAGCCGTACTCTGCATGTGGGCAGGCAGGAGGTAGGCTGTAGATGCGGAGCTCCAGTACAAAAACCGAGTTGCCCACTTGGTTCCCAAATCCAGGCAATATTACAACCAGCTAGTCTCACATGATCAGTTGCGTCGCCTGTTTCCACCTCATGACTATTTTATCGTTCTCCATCCCATATCTCGTCTTCTGCACCCTCCTGTGTTTTCCCTATCCCTTACCAGCTATCAAGTAGTCTTCGCTCAATTAATGTGTTTTATTTATTTACCCTCCCACCTTCTTTTCAACTTCTGTCTGTCTGCCAATGCTTTCTGTGCCGTCTTCTGTCTCTTGCGTGTATGCTCACCAACCTCAC